AGGAGCTACTGGGATGATGCATTCCCCTGTGGCAGCACAGCCCCCCCACAGTGAACAACAAAGGCTCATTGCAGGAGGATGCTCCATCTCAGCATGTCTTTGCTTTACAAGTTCATGGGCTGATTTCCCTGCTGAGGAGGCAGGTCCTGATGAGTTTTGATGTCCTACAGGACAAAGCTGGCCTGCAGGTGAAGGAAAACTTGGTACATGCTCATGCCAGGGAACCTGCCAAACTGAATTCAGGTTAGAAAATGCCCTTGCTGTGATCACCCTCAGCATCACACCATCTTGAGCCTAGAGAAACCCATGGGCAAGCAATTATTTACCACATGGCTGATGAAAGACTGTGAGATTACTAATAGAGCTTAAAACAGCTCTATTTCATCTGTAAACTGAGAGATAAATCTAATGCATCCTACCCTTGTTTTGCAGTCAGTGCATGATGGAAACCCACTCACACCTGGAGGCTTCTGAGTCCAGTGATGTACTGCATGTTACCACTGTAAAGTTTTTACACAGAACCACAGAATGGCCTGGGTTGCAAAGGAGCACAGTGCTCATCCAGCTCCAACCCCCTGCTGTGTGCAGGTCACCAACCAGCAGCCCAGGCTGCCCAGAGCCACATCCAGCCTGGCCTTGAATGCCTGCAGGGATGGGGCATCCACAGCCTCCTTGGGCAACCTGTGCCAGTGTGTACATGAGGAGTTTCCACTGCTCTTCCACTTTCCTGAGAGTACAAAGGGGGGAAAAACATGACAGTTGACTTCTGAACTGGGAAACGTAAATCTTTATTCTTGAAAAAGTGAAAATGTCTTCCTAGATATCTTTTTTCCCCCCAGTAGATTTGGAGCAACTCCTCAAAAGAAAAACCCCAAATTGCATTGTTTTCCCTCTTGCATTGCACAAAACCAAGCAATCACCACCCATGACAAAAGCACACAAAGCAGCTTTCTGGCAGAGCCCAAACTCATGCTAGCTCAAATTGAAAAGGAAAATATTTGCATGCTATGACTCAGTGCAAATGGTTTACATACTGTTCTTTTTTCCAGCTTTAATTACTGTGGTTGTCACCAAGAAACCACTGAAATTTTACAAGGACATGCAGAGGTTGTGTTATGTTTCTCTTTCATCATGACAGCAATTCTGTTACCTCAACAATGTGAAAACATTTAAAAATCATTAACAATCACTTGAGAAGTTATTTCTTCTATAAACAAGATGATACAAGCTGTAATAAAGCAATCAGCATTCCCTGTAATTTGTTTTGTTTCCAGACATTCACCTGACCTCTACCTGGACTTTCTGCTAGCCTCTGGCATGGGAGTGTTGTATTCCATCCATTATATGCATGGAAATTAAATTGAGTAGTGGGTGGAAAAAAGAATTAGATTTAGTAAGTTAAACAATGCATGGAAATTGATCTATGCATATTATGCATAACCTTCTCAACCTGTTCTATTCAGTGCTGCTAAATGCATTTCAAGGGGCAGCACTAAGTGAAATGACTGCTATCTACCACATAGGGTGCTTTTCTTTTTGTTTTTTTTTCCCCCCCTCACCTGCTGAAGCTTTGCAGTTAAGATAAAGTCCTATTGTTTCTCCTTCCTTGTGCCTCCAGGAAAGATGTCCATTGGCTTTGGCCCCAAGTGCCATGGTTCCAGCTTTGTCCCCAGCACTGCTGGCCTGGCATCAGTGCTCACCAGAGGCCCTTTGGGCTTTTGCTCCTTCACTTCATCCCTCTTGTGCAGCAAACGCTGGAGCTGGGGGAGAGGAAGAGGGATGTTAAGAAATGAATGTGCTGTGTGAAATCAGAGACAACTGCCAGATACTCCTACATTAACTAATGACATAAGCTTTTGCACCTTGAGGAAATAATCAGGAGTTAATAAGCTGTGTGACACACAGAGGACAAGAAACAAAGAAAGACAGAGCACTTAATCAAAGCATAACCTATTCCTCCAGCTCTTGACTGCCTTTTGCCTGCTTGGTGCTCTAGGTGTAGCTAATTCCTAGTTCCACCCTCTTCCTCAAAATAGGCACTGGAGGAGAATGGAGGGCTGTGTGCTGGCCAGGGCCTGCAGAAGGCAACTTAAGAGCATCTACAGAACTTACAAAAGCTCACATGAAGTTCTGTGCATGGTTATTGGGGGAATTGATGTGTTGGGGTGTGTTGTAATGTAATGCTATAGTGGGATGATAACAGCAGGGTGGCAAAAATGTTTGGCTACAGCAAATGAGAATGGGCCCAAATGCAGGAGCCACAGATGCAGAAATAAATGAAAAAAGCTGCTTACCTTTGAAAGGCCAGAAGTAGGCAGGGAGCTCCAACAAGAGATGCCCTTGTATCCACTGCCAAGCTTTAAAGGAGGTCTAGAAAGGGATGGATTCTGGTTGCAGCCCTTCCAGTCACTCAGGTGCATTGCATTGCACTGCATGCACCTGAGCTCCCCTGGTTTGGCTCTGCCTTCCCACCAGGTGCTCCTTCACTGCTTCAGACAGTGGCTTAGTATTGCCACTATATGTGATTTGATGTTTCCTATTTGCTAAGTTCTCCTATTTCATTCTCTCCTATCTATCACATGAAAAGGGAGTTCTCTAAGGCGAGAAGTAGCAGCAGAAGCAGTAGTAGTCCAGTTTGTGTTGTGCCTGGCTGAAAAAGTGGACTTTGCCTGTACATACCAGTGACTGCTGGCACCCAGAACACATACCCTAAGAGTTACAGAGGCACAACGAAAATAATGAAGTGATATTGGAAGAAAAAAAAAAAAAGAAAAAAGGGGGTTATTTATTGGTATCCCAGGAGATGAGATAGAAAGGGGAAGTACAGAGGGCAGCAAGGTGATTTTGCAGCAGGGAACAGAGCTAGTTCAAGGACATTCAGCAGCAGCAGCCAAGGTCAGCACCATTGACTGGATGAGTGCAGGTGCTATGGCCTTGTGCTGTGACAGAAACGAGAGAAGGATGCAACTAAGCCAGAAAGGCCTTGAAATGAAGATATACTGTTCAAGTTTGCTGTGTATACAAGGGAAAAGCAGTTCATGTATTCAGAGTAGTGAGACACAGGTAATGTAATAAGAAAATGAAGGAGGAGTGTAAGTGGTTGGATCAGGCTGAAACAGCCAAGGACTACAAGCAAAAGCCTCCCAGATGATGGATATCCAAGAAGGCTGAATACATAACGTTATAGAATTTCTGATGGGCTATGGCTACAATCTACCCTCACAAAACAGTATCCCAGTGTTTCGAGTTAGCTGAAACACAAGCAAAAAATCTTATAATATTAATATTAATTAATAGACCAGCCAAATGGAGGCACAAATAAGGCAGTGGGATGCCTGCCCTGGGAAAGTTACCCAGGTGGTTTGATTGTGGCAAAAACTGACCATGTTTTGTTTTGTTGCAGCTGAGCTTCAGGCAGAAGCTGGGGGCCTCAGACCAGCTGAAAAACTGCTTCATAAAATAAGAAAGATTGACTGGAATCATTAACTTGAGAGGGGGGAGTAACTCCAGAGGAAAAGCTTATTTATAGAGTTTTAATGCCCGTTACAGGTGTTATTATGTTCCATGTAATTACCCTGCAAATCAGAGCATGGTAATGAAATCCTATCAGTGTTGGGATTCTCTGCAGTTATCCTATGGAAGTGTACGACAAAGGTTTAATTCTCTCTGAATTTCTGTGAATGTTTAGATCATGCTCTGCATTACAGTCGGAAAATGCTGCTTGTGGTGTTCCAAGCCCAGTTTGAGCCTGGTATTCAGGAATCACAGAACCATAGAATGGCCTGGGTTGCAAAGGAGCACAGTGCTCATCCAGTTCCAACCCCTGCTGTGTGCAGGTCACCAACCAGCAGCCCAGGCTGCCCAGAGCCACATCCAGCCTGGCCTTGAATGCCTGCAGGGATGGGGCATCCACAGCCTCCTTGGGCAACCTGTGCCAGTGCCTCACCACCCTCTGATCACACTAGATCTCTTTTTTTTCCCCACTTAAATTCTTCAGGACTTTTAAAACCGGTGAGGGGTTAATATAAATATTTGAATATTTGTAGTTTTGAATATTTGAACTTTGGTGCACTGATCCCCCGGTTTCACCGTTAGCTATTCCAAGGTAATTGTGACCTCTGCTCGTTAGCAGAATGTGTGATGCTGGAAACCTGGAGGTGAAAACATGCAGTCTCGGGGCTGCACTTTGTCTGGTTTTGTCCCTGTTACTCGCCATAAAAATATTCTTAAAAGTGATTAGAAGTTTGCTTATGCAGGGCAATTATGTTGCAGATTGCTTCTTATTATTATGTAGCTAATAAAAATAACAGCAATGTATATCTTGGCCCAAAGAGGTTGGGAGTTTATTAAAGTTGTAAATTATGGATTCCACTAAAGTGGGATAATAAGATGAAGCAGCACAGCGTGTGCAGTAATCATTCTCCTATTTTCATCTAATATTGTGTAGTTATTAGACATTTTGTTCCTTATTAATCTTCCTTGACCTTTTTTTCCTCAACAAATTCTCCTTCCTATAAAAATGAGTAATTGCTGAGAATCATAACGTGCTGACAAATGTCTGCAAGGAGAGCAGGGTGCAGTGTGACACAGTGGGGCCAAAAGAAGTGATGCCCTGTGGCCAGCACACACCAACCCTGCTTCCATGGCATGGGCTTCTGGGCAGGGACACGTGCTGGAGTAACCCTGCCATCTCCCATCCACTTCAGCTGTATATTGAAGTTTAATTCTTGTTTGTTTAATTCTTGATTGTTTTTTCCCTTATTGGTGGGATAATGAAGAGGGAAAAAAATTGCATGTCTGGAGTTGATCATTCTATTCTGCTCGTCTGAACACACATCAGATAAAATCTTGCCAGCCACAGTGTTGTAAATGAGGTGCATAGGGCGCTTGAATAAATAAATACCCCAGATAGTAAACTCCAAAAGTCAGCAGCTCTACATACCAAGCAATTCGCTTGCTTGCCCTGCTTCTCTGCAACGTTCTACGACTCACGTGTTGCAGCAGCAGAGGTCGCTGGTCCCACAGCCCATGAGGAAAGGCTGATCCTCATCCCCAGGTGACCGCGGAGCACTCTGCGCTCGGAGCACTCAACTCCTGCCCACTCCCAAACGACGCTGCTGGGGCTGAGTCTTCCAAAGGCTTACAGTCCCCCGTTGGGCTACAGATAGGAGACCAGGTGAAGCAGAAAATACATGCATGCGGCTTCGCATCCCCATATCTGGCTGATGCAAAACACCCGGACAGCTGGCTCCCAACGGCCAGGGCAGTGGCTGTCATGTACTCAGATAGGCACTAGGGCTAAATAAGAGTCAGCAGCATCGTGTGCTCAGCCAGGCAGCCCACAGGGAAAAGTGCCCTGACACCTGCATGGCACTCACAGAGCTGACATCTCCTGGTGCTCTGCACCCCGGTGGCAAAATCCAGTGCATGGAGCCTGCAGAGCACCACGGTGTGTGGTCATGAGCACGGGCAGGCACAGCAGATAGCTGCCAACACCTACTGAGCACCAAAGGTTACTATTTGTAACAAAAATGCTCCATTTGGAACACACTTTTTACAGCAGGTGGCTAAAGAGTGTTTCCCCAGCATGGGGAATAACAGCTTTTAAGGACTATTATGATTCTTTTATGCATACAACGAAACGAAACAAAAAAAGCAACAACAGCAAAACACCCAAATCCACCATTTGTGTCATTTAATGGGCTCCATGTGAGCGCTAAACAGAAGGAAGTCACAAAAAAGAAATAAAATGCATGCCCTGTAAGCGGCAGCGAACCATTATCCCTCCATGGTGTCTGCTGCAATCCAGCAGGCAACAAGTGGCTATCGCAGCCCAGAGCTGAGGAGATCATAGAGTCATATCATAGAATGGCCTGGGTTGAAAAGGACCACAATGATCATCCAATTTCAACCCCCTGCTGTGTGCAGGGTCACCAACCACCAGGCCAGGCTGCCCAGAGATCTTCAGGACCCTGAAAGTTTTTGCTCTAAGCTGGTTGGATATTTAGTGCAGGTATTTCTGCACGCTGCAGGAGGCTGTGAGCATCAGGTCACCAATGGGTACCTGGGACTTCAGTGGCAGTGCCACTGGGAGGCCATGTAGGGCAGGAACTTCCATGGCTTCATGCTTGGCCAAATTTATTTCATCTGTGTCTTTTTAATTTAACACCCTCTGTGAGGCTTTATTTACTTTGGACGCATCCTGTGATGCTTCTAAACTTAAACTCAGCATGTTTTAAACCTCACTGGAAGAGACTTGTTTTCTGCACAGAGAAACAGGATGGCAAAGAGCTAGCCATGCTGCTGAGCCACACTGCCCTACTCCTACCACCGATATTGCACACCACTCACCAGCAGTGCTTCTCCATTTGATCATCATAGAATCGTAGAATGGCCTGGGTTGAAAAGGACATCAAAGATCATCTCGTTTCAACCCCTCTGCCATGGGCAGGGTTGCCCAACCACCAGACCAATTCTGGGCCTGTTTGTATTTCTTTCCTTTTCATTGGATGGTACCATATTCCGTGAAGTCCACCGACCTGCTCACCTCTGAAGTGCTCCTTTGGCCAACTCTGAGAAAAAAGAAATACACATTTTATTATTTTTTTTTCCCAATACTGTTCCTGATGTGTCTGTGCCCTCCAACCCAGCCTGCTGCAGTGTGGGAGAGAAGCAGCCCCGCTGCAATGCATGGCTGCACAGAGCTCAGCGGGGTGCTTTCCCGAAAACTTACCTCATCTCCATGAACAATTCCTCTGCTTCCTCTCTAAAAAAACATCGTTTTGTTTTTGGATTAAAATTTAAAGTGCTTTGAAGTACAGAAATTATTAACTTTGATATCTCTGCGGTTGTTTCACAGGAGAATGCCTGAGGGTAACAGCGATGAATGCTAACATAAAGATTTACATTTACTGTAATATTAATTTTTTAAAAGCTTTTAATTAATACAAAATAATCAGAAATAAGCAAGTTTCCTTCAAGCTGGTCCGCTACCCATGAAACTTCTTTCTCACAGACTTCAATAATGTCTTTTTGCAGGACAACAGTGTACTCATAATCATATCTAATTAAGAGGCTTGAAAGACATTCTTATCACAACTTTCCATATGTTGCATAGGATGGCTATTCTGTACTGTTTTCACCATGGCAATGCTAAAGTCAAGAGAAGGTCCCACCACGCTGGATGCTGTCTAAATACACATCCTTGTCCACGAAGTTTACAATAATCTGAGGCCAGTGGAGCCTGTAGCAAAAAAAAGGGGACATCAAGACAGTGATGGAGGGATAAGCAGTTTATGCTCATGAGCGGTGCTCAGAAAACCCAACGCACGCTATGAAATTAATGAGATAAATATATGAAATGAAATTGCAGCACAGCCTCATCTGCAGAATATTTTCCAGCCCATTTACATAATTTTTAAAGGCTTGTTGGTCTATTAGCAATCAGCACAAACAACTTCTGGGTGTTGACTTTTCCCAGCCTGACTTGTATGTTTTAGGCAGGCCAAGACCCCCAGTGTTAGCAGGTGTATTAACACAGGGGCAGTCCTGCTCTGCGTGTCACATCAGTTCCAAGATAATAAAGCAATGCAGGCTATACATTCTGCAGGGTTTTGTCATCTGGATTTCACGTGCTCCAGTTTGTTCCTGCCAGTGAGGAAAGCAGGATATAAAAAGGGTTGTATTTGTTCTGGGGTTACGTAGCAGGGAACAGCGTTTGGCAGTAAAATTGGTTCTCCAGGTGGGCCAGGCACAACTCTCCGTGCTGGTGTTGTCCTGTCCTGTTGCACACAGCCATGTGCTCTACCTACCTGCACCTTTCTTTAGCCTTACTACACGAATGTTGTTCAAGATATCAGATGCGCAATAGCATCCGTTCAATCGTTCTAAACTTTAATATTCTGTAGCCCTTTCTTATATCATAGAATCATGGAATCACAGAGTTGGAAAGGACCTACAAGATTATCTAGTCCAACTGTCCTCCTGTCACCATTATTACCCACTAAGCCACTAAATCTCATAGCAGCTCCTCCAGATGCCTCTTGAACACTGCCAGGGACGGCAACTCCACCACCTCCCTGGGCAGCCATTCCCATGCCTGACCACTCTTTGAGAGAAAACATTTTTCCTTGTCTAACCTAAGTCTCCCCTGGCACATTTTGTGGCCATTTCCTCAAGTCCTGTTTGTTGTCTGGGAGAAGAGACCGGCCTCCTTCTTGTCACAACCTCCCTTCAGGAAGCTATAGAATGCACCCTGAGCATCCTCTTCTCCACACTAAATAACCCCAGCTCCCTCAGCTACACCTCATAAGACTTGTGCTCCAGACCCCTCACCAGTATCATTACCACTCAGTATAGAGTTTGGATACTCAGTGCAAAGTTTTAGCTGCCACTGGTATCATCCCCTCCGAAAACAAAACAAAACAAAGACAAATACAACAACAAAACATTATCCTCACCCTTCTGTAAATATCTTTTTATCTATTGCCCATTTATCACCAAAGTCACCTGGCATATTCCAGTATGCAAAGAGGAAATCTCAGATGTCAGTTGTATATGAAGAGTAATTCTCCATGCACACTAAATGACATTTATGTTAGTGCAAGACAAAATAATCAGCAAAAAATTAAGAGCCTATTTGCATAAGATCAAGCATAGAAAGATTCTACATCAAAGTTGGCTACACTGGAAAGTTATCTAAGTAATTCCATAACTTGGGCCATATTGGTCATTACCAACTGTGACACTAAATAGATACACATTTTGCAAAGGAACTTGGGGTAGAAACCAACGAAGGGTACTGGTAAGATGTATTTCAGCCCAGTGCATTTCAGTTTTGTCTCTTGATTTCAATGGTTTTATTTATTCATCATCTATTTTTACGTATCGCTAAGACAGTAAATGGAAATGTATGTACAGAGTTACCAGCAGCGAATGCACTGGCAAAAAAATCTTTAAATAAAAGTTCTTTTATTTCAATAATTAGGGTGACATGACTTTATTAAAAAAGAAGATCGAAAACTTTCTGATGTGAAACAATTTTAAATGGAAACACGTTAAATTATTTACTATGGTAAAATAAGTATTTAACGGAGAAGCGTTTAAAATTTAATTGACTGCTGAGATTATCAGTTGAATTATGTGAGGCACTGACATGATGTACAGCTTTCTCCTGTAATTGAAAACACCAAGAAAAGCATTTTTATAAATCTATTTTGAAACACAGAAAAGTTAATGGAATGTTTGTTGTAAGATGTTGTGCTGTGTTATTACTCAAGTCGCTGGAGATAACTAAAACTGAGTGATTTAGGGGGAGCAAGGGATGAGTAGGGCAGTGCTTATATGTAGATGACTATGACTAAAGTTTGTGTCTAGAATTTTAGATGGATAATTAAATAACGTAATCAAGTCCTGCTATGCAAAGTAAGTTTAACTGACTTAATAAAAACTCTTAATAAACACAGACTCCCTTTTTTAATTTGTATTTATCACCTCCTAGTACCCAATATCATAGCCACGGCATTGCAGAATGAGAAAATATGTTCTAAAGAAAGACAAGACAGCAGAGAAAGGTCCTGCTGCAGCTCACCATGCTCCCAAGACCCAAGACACGAGGTAGCAGGAGGAAATCAGCTCTTCCCCACTTGTCTTGGGCTTCCCTGCAGTTTCCATGTGCCGTATAATGGAGCTCCATCCTTACTCTGTACTTCCTTCTTCACGTGGCCAGAGGAAGGCAATAGCAGGAACGACAGAGCCAGAGTCTGTAAGGTCAGGGGGTGGGCCTAAAGGTCTTGCTCCATGTCCCACCACCAACATGAGCCAAGAGCAGCATCAGGTCTCTGAACTCCTAGACGTCTTCCACACGCACCTGAGGTAAGGACTGCTCCTGAGCTGGAGAACTCACTGTGCACCGTGTATTCATAATAACCACCTCTAATGGCAGACATCACTGACTCAGAGCACTCCCCATGCATCTGCATTCTCCTCTGGATGAGATATTTCACACTGTCTTTCTTGCTCATCTGCAATGTGTCCCATCCGGTCCATGCGACACTGCTTCAAAACTGGATGTCTCCCACTTTATGAGGATTAATGCTTTCTCAAAATTATAAGAAACAATGGCAAGTCTTTTAAAAATGACTGTGTAGTCTTGCACTGATGAAAGATCACCTAGGAAGCACCAGCTGAGTCAGCCATTAAATGATAATTCCAGGCTATTTCTGGATTATTTATAACACTTGACAAAATATTACCAATATTAGACATTGCCAAACAATGTGTCAGATTGCCATTCTAATTACTTCACCAGCAACACAAATCCTTTTGCAGCCGATCACATTTGGATATGTTTATAGCAACTCAATAAATTCTTTGTGTTATTTTTAAATTGTTGTAATTTCATTTTAAATTCCCTGGCAGTTGTATGCTAGCACAGGGCTGTAAGTATTCTTTTCATCACAGCACACATCTCACTGGCATTTCCATCTATCCAGAGACTTCTCAAAAGCATTATTATTATTATTATTACTATTTTTTCAGACGAGCATGTTTAATACATTCACACTGAAAAACAAAATCCATTTTGGCTCACAGCTTAACTGGAGATCTGTGCTTAGGATGCACAGCATGAAAACAAAGCGTTATTCTAGAAATTTCTATGTTTTTTTCTCTTTTCTTTCATATCTTTGTAGGAGAAGGAAGCCTCACTCTGAGCAATTAAAGGCTTTAATATTTTTAACTTCTTAGCACTAAGAACCGACTGCAAGGTGCCACAACTGAACATTTCTAAGGACACGGAGAGGCATCGTGTTATTACCCCCAAAATGATGAAAAAGCAGTGAGTGTACATTGGAGCAATTAGTCAACAATAATGAGCACTTAAGATCTGTGGCACTGTATTACTTCTCAATGTGCAGGGCTGAGGATGGAGCTGGACTATTTCAGTTAACATCTGTGGCTCCAATAGCCACTGTCAGTTTGGCATCATCTCCATTGGGCGCCAAGGCGAGTTGTTCCCCATGGCGCTCAATGGCAATTTGTGCACCAAGCCACTGCAAGGAACCAGGAGCTGTTCCTGCTGCCCACTCTGCTCTGCTCCAATGTCCCTGGGCTCTACCACTGAGAAACAGGCTGCAGACACAGCCTGTGCATAAACCAGGCTCCCCTGCAATGCTCTCTTGAGCCGTGTCTGTCCGCTGGACATGCTAATCCTTATAGGATCTTTCCGAATTGGGATATTCTATGATTTTATGCTCAGGCATATGCACACATCTAACTGCTATCTGCACCTCTGATCTTAAAACCTTTGCCTTAAAGAAGTCTTCTTTCCAGTGCAAATGGGAAAGGCACTGTAAAATACTCCCACAGTGCTATAAAACTACTACCCCAGTAATAAACCCAGTAATATAATCCATCCACAGTGATTTTTTCTTTTAAATTTAGTAATTAAACTCAGTCTCAGCTGAGAATCCGGATGTCAGATTTCAGCCCGAAGTGAAAATAAATGATTGAATTACAAATCCCTAAAAATAGAAATTCAGAATGCAATCACTGACACAACCTTCATTTGGGC